CAGCAGTTGTTGTACAGAAAAAGCAAAAATCACCATGCTAGAAAGCTGCACCTTCAATTCATTAAATTTATATTGATTCACATGTCTACCATAAAGTTAGCAGGTGTTCCTAGTGGATTTTGTTCAACTTTTCAAAGTTCCTTATTTGCAGTTGACCAGTTTCTGTGTGGAGTTTATTGTATTTGTCTTTACTGTCTTCTAGACATTAAATGTACATAATTTTGGAGTTTTAGCAAGTTAGAGATATACAAATAGATTTGAGAATTAAATTGATGGCAAAACCCCACAAACCTGTTCACATCACTGGAATTGACCATCTTACTACTTGTTACTGTTTTCTAATGTTAATTTTGGAGATGATCCTTTGAAATTTTAATTCTGAATCAGAATCTTCCACAAGTATAGAGGAAATTAGAAGTCAGAGTTATAATTCTGGTTTACAATTTGAGAGGTTGGGGTTTTTTTTCATTCCCTCCCCATTGAATCATTCTTAACTTTCTCCTCCTCCCAAATGGAGAGCTGGCTCATTGCATCTGGTGATAAGGCACCACAAATCTAAGCACAAAATAAGTTTTTTTCTTATGTTGCATTTGTGGTCTAGGTGTTTTGACAGAATTTTCAGCCTGTGTTTGGTCATTAGTTAGACTTAAAATCATATTCCCTAATTTCAGAGGAAATAATTTTTTATTGACAAATTGCTAAATGATAATTGAGAAATGAGAATATAAGCCTTAGTGCAGGTAGGGCTTTTGAGTTTCATGGCAGAAATTAATTTTAGTTTAGAGTACCATGTTGGTAATATAAATTGGTTCTATGGTTAAGGTTAAATGAATAGAACATACTTTTTGATATTTTCATGTGCTTTTCATTTCTATGAATTCTACCGAATTACAGGGGGTGTGGTTGGCTCAGTTTCTATTTTTTTGTATTCTACTCTTAATGTTTTTTTTAAAAAAATGTATTATTGTTGTAGTCAAGCTCTTTATGCTACATAAAATTATCACTGAACATTTTATTTCATCCATGAAAAGCATTATGGTTGCAAGCTTTTAAGTATGTAGTGGCCCTCTAATACATATGTAATATGGTATAGACTCCAACTCTTGATATTCTCCATTTTTCAAAGAGAAGCATGGAGTGTTGGATTTATTTTAATCATTTTTGTTCATTGTTTGTGTGTTCCCTGGCTACAACATGTGTGAAGTCCAACTGAATCAAGTAGGGAGAAGGTCTGTCTTAATCATTGCAGATCCTTGCTTAGGTCATGTATATGAAGCATGCCAAATCTGCAAAAGAAAATCTTTTATAGTGGCATTCATCAAAACTTGCTTCAATTCTAAATTGTTATCTTTTTGGCCATTATTGCAGCTTCTTTATTAGATGGTTCTCTTGGGAATTTTATAGGGACAGATTTCATATGTTTTGAAGGTGTTTTTTAATGATTAATTGGCACATGTGGTAGACTGACAATGACAATCTGAATGCATTAAAAAGTATTAGAGGAAGTTCTATTCTTGCTTTTAAATTCAGTGGGTTTTGTTATTTGTGTGCACATACATGTGGAAGAGAATTAATTGATGGGGTGGAGGGGAATGGACATTTTTGCTTGGGCATTTGCCTGTTTCTAATATATAGCATTTGTGATTTTTCTCTTTTAATTTGTAGATAAGCCTCTGAAGAAGCGAAAACAAGAAAGCAAACCACAGGAGCTTGGTGGTGCTACTGGAGGAAATAGAGCAGCTTCTCAGGAGACAGGTTCTACAGGAAATGGGGCAAGGCCAGCATTGATGGTTAGTATTGATCTGCAGCAAGCAGGAAGAGCAGAATCTCAGGCAACAGTAACTCAGGATTTGGACATCATCAAAAAACCGGAAGAAATTAAGCGGTATAATGATGGGTTTGTGTGTGTTTCTCAAGAAGACACTGTTGGAGTTCTTAAATTTAAACCTGAAAACCATCCTGAGATTTTCAGGGAAACATCAGACTTTGAGGGTCAAAAGCCGGATATCCAGCAGAATGAAAACAGACAAATAGAATTTCAGCAAAATGTGAGCAGGCGGTTGGAAAATAAACAGAATGAGAAGAAACAGGTAGAAGCTAAACGTGAAAGCAAGCGTGAAAGCAGACAAATGGAAGTGAAACAAAATGAGAATAGACAAATAGAATCAAAACAAAACCAGAGCAGGCAAATGGAGATGAAACAAAATGAAGGAAAGCAAAATAATGGCAAACAGGAAATCAGGCAGAGGCCCGAAACACCAAAACAGAAGAATGAAGACAGGCCTGAAACACCAAAACATAACAGGAAGGAATCAAGTAAACCATTATCAGATAAGAAAATAGAAATATCTAGGCATAAACTAGATGTGAAATCTGATCCTTCAAGAATAAAATCTGAAACTAGAGCTGATCCAACAAAACAAAGGCTTGATGGGCATTCAGTTTCTGATACACCGAGGCGTGACCATGATAGCCTTAAACAAAGATCTGAGGACAGGGAGGAGTCAGAGAGATACAGAGGAGATCCATCCAAGATCAGAAGGCCTGAATATTTGAGATCCTCAAACAAAAATGAACATGATTCTAAGCATGGTATTAAATCTGATGGTTCAAAACCTGAGAAATTTGCAAGGAAACATAGACATGAGTCTGGTGAATCAAGGGAAAGGTTTTCTTCTGGAGATCAGAAATCAAGACCTGACAGTCCTCGCATTAAACAGGAAGGTAGAGGAGATTCTAGTAAATCAAAACCTGATAAACCCAGTTTTAAATCATCCAACAGCAAGCATGAACGAAGGACAGATGGTAATAAGAGTAAAGCAGATAGTACTAAAGCACATGCTGAAAATAAAGCAGAGTTTCCCAGTTATTTGTTGGGGACAAGATCTGGCACATTGAAACATTTTGTCATTCCAAAAATCAAACGTGATAAAGATGTCGATGTCACTCAGGAATCAAGGAAAACTGAATTTAAAGGTGAACAGGACAAAGTACAGAAGATTGGGCTGGTTGAAGATCTAAATAAAGGCGCTAAGCCTGTAGTTGTCCTTCAAAAGCTTTCATTGGATGATGTGCAGAAATTTATTAAGGATAGAGAAGATAAATCAAGGGGCTCTTGTTTTAAACCTAACAAGAACAAGTCATCCAAATCTAATAAAGGTAAGATTTTTTTTAATGTAAATTGCATTATATCTTGTATACTCCTGTTCTTTTATATTTGCTACTCCTGTGGTTAGAAAATAAATGCAAAGATTTGATAATTAGTTTATATGCTTGCTTATATGGTGATTTTGGGGAACAAAGTGCAATTTGTCTATGGAATTGTAGTTATTGGAAAACTTGCTACAGTGTAACTAAAATGATTTTTTTATTCCAATGCAAGTTCCTAATGTGGGAACACTTAAATAGTATTAAACTGTACTTCAGTTACATTAGTTTAATCTGGTAATTTATCTAGTTAAACATAACTGCTATATGAATGATTAGGTGTGTCTGTATAAGGGAATGGTACTACTGTAACTAAATCAGCATAGCTGAAGTGGTGTGAAATACTATGTATGCATACAAGCCCTAAAATTCTTTTATATTTTTATTTGAAAATGAAATGTCTTTTCCAAGGGATATTTTGACATGATGAAATAAAACAGCAGTTACAAAGCCCCATCTGCCTGTTTTACACTATAAATATAACTCTGTTGGGAAGCCTTCACACTTTTTTTTTAAGCTTATAAAAAAGTTCTGTCTTTAGGAGAATTCAGATAGTGTTGTCTCTATGGTCCAGTGTATGCAGAAAGAGGAAAGGAACTGGTGAACAAAGGACTAGAATTTTCAAATTAGTAATATGAACAGGAATTTATTCATAATAGATTGTAGGTTTGATATTTGATTGCCTCTTCTGCAAATATAACACTTTTTTATTCTTGGTGCTAATATTTTGTTTTCTTTGGTTTCAGACTGAAGTAGATAATTTCACATTGTGAAATCAGTGTTACTAATTGGTCAGGGTTCTTTTCTTTTTTATTGTTCAGCATTTAAAGCATTTAGATTTCTTACATAGTTATGATTATACAGCTGTCATGTCTCAAAAATAGGCAAATAAAGTGGCAGGGGAGAGGATTTCAGCTGTATACAGGATTATTTATGAATGCAGTTCCAGATATATCATTACTCATTAATTTGAAATTAAAATGTTTTCTTACAAAGTTGATCTGCTAAGAAATGATGTAATCATCTTTGTGAATGTATAACTATGTTTATGTACATGTGTACAGTTGATATCTGTATGATGAATTTATTTTGCTATGTCTGTTCTCTATCTAACTTGATTGTATTGACCCTTAAAGACTTAATAATTCAGGATGAGTATTGCTTACTTGTAAAATATTAGCCTCCTTGTTAAATATTTTCTCTTTATCCTGAAAATATGAACATTTTCCCTGTTCCTTTTTCAGATTCAGAAGGGGCAAAATTTCCATTTCTAACAATAATAGATATCTACAGTCAGACACAAAATTATTACATCCTTGCTATCAGCTTAGTCTAAAGATTTCAGATGAAACTTTTATGTTCTTCATAAGGAATACTGAAAGCTTTCTGTTGGAGTTCAGCTCAAAAGGATAGACTGAATTCACACAATTCTATGTGCAGAAAATGGGTATTTTTAGAGCCCTCTGAGCCATATACAGTGCATGTATACTTTCTAAAAAGTTTCTGAAGTAGGCTTTTTTGTAGTTTGTATTGTATGTGGTTATTTATATAGTATATTTTAGTAACATGTGAAGGTTTTAATGACTCTTATCCAATTGGTATGACTCTAGTAGCAATGTCACACATGAGTAATGCATTCATTTTAAATTCAGGTTTGTAACTTTTCTGCAGTGTTTTTGTGTATTTTATGTTTTATGCAGTCATATATTTCTTACATATTCTGAAATAACTTGGGAGATTTTCCAGGGGAAAAAAACCAGTTTGAATCTGATATCAGTCTATTCGATATTGTATCTAGAATAAGATTCTTACAATGGTACTAGAAATAAGTTTCATGGAAAGGATAACTATGTTTCTCTTACAAATCAAGTTTTGAGTGTTCATCCAGGCAAATTTTGGAGAATGTGTCTTTGAACTTCATATTTTTCACGTGTATTTTTAGTTTTACATTTGTTTGCCCAACTTCCTGGTTAGCCTACTTTCTAGGATGTACTTAAGTGAACTCCAGTGTTTTAAAGGTTCACAATTCATAAAGATATCTCTTCATAAATCAAAGTCTATTTGTCAATAACTGATTGATATAGAAAATATTCATGTCATTTTCACAATGTCCTCACTCCAATTGAGAGAAATAGCATCCACTGTTTTACTCCATGCCATTTTTAGTTATAAAACATTTTAATACACTTGATGTAATTTTCATAAACATTATTGAGTTCATTATATATTTATTAATAGGTTGCAGCAAAGCTTTTCTAGTGGTGCCTTTTAGTATCATTCTTCTCGCATCCCTCCTATTCCATGTAGCTTAGTATATTCTGCTTTACCCTTTCTTCTTTTACCTCCTTGTATTTTTTTCGATTGTTTTTCCTTTCTCATCCTTCCTCAAGAAAAGGTGTTCTCCTAGCTTTGTCACATGCAACATCACTGCTGTGATTTATCTGAAATTCAGCTTAAAATAGGATTAGTTCAGCTAGTTCAAAAAGCATTTAGATAGTCATTCTGTCTTAAGGGACTAATGCCCATTGATTATAAAACTCAGTAAAATTGACTTGTTTTAAGAAAATTAATGTTATGTATACTGAAAGTCTATACAACTTTTTAGATTGTTTCAGTAAACTTTAAATTTTAAAATCATACCTTTATTGTGCACATGGATAAGCCTTGCATTGTACTGTAAAAAAACCAAAGTAACATTGTAATCAAATTTTATATACAGATTTGAAATTTCATTAAGCTATTATATGACTGGGATAGCCGTACTACACAATCGTTAAGATTGAACCATCCCAACAGTCCCTTTTGACATTTACAAGGAAGAAACAACATTTTTCACTCCTGATCTCTCCTGATCTTTGAGCATTTTTCTGAAAGATATGCTCTAGGTCAGAGGAAAGTTATGGACGTTTTTTTCATAGTATTTCTTTTTGTTAAGAGGTCTTATGGTGAAATTTTGTGGCCTGTTTTGTCCAGGTCAGAATGAATTGTAACTTTTTTTTTCTTCTGGTTTTAATATCTGCAAATGCCTTTTATCCTGGTTTTAATGCAAATGTATGTTGTTGGGGAATCCATTAAGCTTTTCCCTTTGAGTTTGTGCCTGCGATGAGGAGATCATGTTTGCTATCCTTTCTTTTCAGAACTTCTCTGCTGCTTCTTATAGCTATACTGATCAACTATCTTGAGATAAAACGTGGTGCCAGTTTTACAGTTGATTTAGGTTGGGAAAAACCTCTAAGATCATCAAGTCCAACCATTAGCCCAGCACTGCCAGATCCACCACTAAACCATGTCTTTACGTGCCACATCTAAATGTCTTTTAAATACCTCCAGGGTTGGTGACTCCACCTCTGCCCTGGGCAGCCTGTTCCAATGCTTGATAACACACTCTGTTAATAAATTTTTTCTAATATCCAATCTAAATCTCCCTTGGATCAACTTGAGGCCATTTCCTCTTGTCCTATCACTTGTTACCTGAGAGAAGAGACTGACCCCCACCTTACCACAACCTCCATTCAGGTACTTGTTTCCCAAGGGGTCTCCCCCAAGCCTCCTTTTCTCCAGGCTAAACCCCCTCAGCTATCTCAGCCACTCCTCATAGGACTTGTGCTCTAGTACTTTCGCCAGCTTTGTTGCCCTTCTCTGGACATGCTCCAGCACCTCAATGTCTTTATTGTAGTGAGGGGCCCAGAACTGGACACAGTACTCGAGGTGTGGCCTCACTAATGCCAAGTACCGGGGGATGATCGCTTTCCTACTCCTGTTGGCCACACCATTTTTGATACAAGCCAGGATGGTGTTGGCCTTCTTAGCCACCTGGGCACATTGCTG